TTTTCTGTTTTTATTATTATTTAACAGAGAAGGCACATACATATCGAGCCCTAACCGCCAAAATAACTTAAGCGACATTATTTTCAAATTTTTTTTCTTGATGCAGAAATATTCCCAGAGCACCTAGATGCATTTCTGCATCAAAAATAAAACTTTGAAAAAATAAATGTTGCTTACGTTATTTTGGTGTTTAGCGCTCGATATTATGAAACAAGAAGTAATGTCCCTTACGCATTTATGTATGGTATAAACATACTGTAAATAACAGCGGAAGTTAATTATAAATTTTAAAATTCTTACAGATTTCTCAGAGTTTCACTGAAGATTATATATCCCTATGAAAATACACCGCTACAAATATATGTGCATACATATGTAAATATCCATTCGTATAAGTAAATATACATAAAATATATATGTAAATATAGATTCATCGGATTTGAAATAAAGCGACCACTCTCATTATTGACTTTTTTCTTGATTTATGTCCATAGGGTTTACATATGAAAACCCTACATCTACTCCTTCTAATTTTCCCCAAAAAATGTATGGAACTGAACCACTGTGCGCCGTAATAAGGGAGGTGGGCGTGAATAGCTTCCGATTTGGTTCTTTTTCCGGACCAACCTACCTTGTATAAAGAGCAATCAGTTTCATTGGGATATGGACAATTCTAAATTAGTTCGAAATTTCGCGTGACACGACAGTTTTTATATGGATACAAAACTTTCGTTGGATTATTAACAAACATCAGGTTACATATCGAGCCCTAACCGGCAAAATAACGTAAGCGACATTTTTTTTTCAAAATTTTCTTTTTGATGCAGAAATGCATCTAGAATATTTCTATCTTATCTTATCTAGGAATATTTCTGCATCAAAAAGAAAATTTCGAAAAAAATGTCGCTTACGTTATGTTGGCGGTTAGGGTTCGAGGGGTCAAATGAATGAGTTTGGGGTATGTATGCTAGCACTTACCCTTGATTTTTGGCAATTTATGTTCGAAAATTTTGNGCATCTAGAATATTTCTATCTTATCTTATCTAGGAATATTTCTGCATCAAGAAGAAAATTTCGAAAAAAATGTCGCTTACGTTATTTTGGCGGTTAGGGTTCGAGAGGTCAAATGAAAGAGTTTGGGGTATGTATGCTAGCACTTACCCTTGATTTTTGGCAATTTATGTTCGAAAATTTTTTATATGAGAAAAAATGCGGAGCACCCCTAAAATTGCCAAAAATCAGAGGTAAGTCCAAGATACCTAAAATTTGCACTTTACTTTACTAAAATTTGATGGGCTACAAACATTTAATGCCAAAATTTTTTCTAAAGACGCTGATCAAGAAGTTAGAAGTTTTGGTCAAAATTTGCAGAATTGACATAATTTTTTCACAAAGTCTGAAATATGAATTTATATCGTCTGTGTTACGGAATCAGCTATACTTTCATAAACAAATAACAAACGTTTAACAAACTAAAGAAAAATTGCCAAAACTTACTAAAATATCGTNAATTTGCAGAATTGACATAATTTTTTCACAAAGTCTGAAATATGAATTTATATCGTCTGTGTTAAGGAATCAGCTATACTTTCATAAAAAAATAACAAACGTTTAACAAACTAAAGAAAAATTGCCAAAACTTACTAAAATATCGTGTCCCAGTTTTTATTTGGTTCACTGTATGTGTATCTTGGTAACCGATTTATCAATTTGTACCAAACCCTGTGCNAAAGAAAAATTGCCAAAACTTACTAAAATATCGTGTCCCAGTTTTTATTTGGTTCACTGTATGTGTATCTCGGTAACCGATTTATCAATTTGTACCAAACCCTGTGCAATTACTGACCTTGGTATNAATTTGCAGAATTGACATAATTTTTTCACAAAGTCTGAAATATGAATTTATATCGTCTGTGTTACGGAATCAGCTATACTTTCATAAACAAATAACAAACGTTTAACAAACTAAAGAAAAATTGCCAAAACTTACTAAAATATCGTGTCCCAGTTTTTATTTGGTTCACTGTATGTGTATCTTGGTAACCGATTTATCAATTTGTACCAAACCCTGTGCAAAAAGCTGTGTTGAAAAATCGGACTAAAATTACGCCCACTTTCCACTTCAAAAAAAGCATAATAAACGTTAAAAACGTATAGTGCGTTGCTTTAAAACTTTGCACCATGTTGGGCTTTGTATTCTAGCAGCGGAAGAACGGACGTATAGATAGGCATGGCCTAATTGGCTTGTGCGTTTTAGTGGTNACCATGTTGGGCTTTGTATTCTAGCAGCGGAAGAACGGACGTATAGATAGACATGGCCTAATCGGCTTGTGCGTTTTAGTGGTATATATATGTAATTCGTTTGGGCGGAATAGTTATCTTAAGATTTATCAATTGAACAATTATTTTTTTTTTTGGAAAGCATTTTTTTTTAAGATTAATAATTAGATAATAACTCAAAATGAAAAGGAACAGTCCAGCGCCTTCGTCTTCGTCTGCAGGCTGTATCGAAGACACAGCCGCTAAATTCAAACATAGCATACGTGGTATGGTTAAGAGCACATCCAAGTAAAAAACGAAGGCACACACTAAGAAAAAAATATTGACAACAAAAGCGATAATAATATCGATAGCAAAATCGATAAAAAATCGATGAATATATCGAAATCAAAATCGATAACAAAATCGATAATAATATCGATAGCAACATCGATAAAAATATCGACAACTAAATCGCTAAAAGTATCGATAACAATATTGATAAAAACATCGATAACAAAATCGATTAAAATATTGATGACAAACCCGGTAAAAAATATAGTTTGTTATATCAATAAGTTCCGAAAATGTCGATACCAAAATCAATAACAATATCGATAACAAAACCTATAAAAATATCGATAACAAACTCGATTAAAATATCGATCATTATATCGATAAATTCCGAAAATATCGATAGCAAAATCAATAACAATATCGATGAAACTTTGGATAACAACATCGATAAAAATATCGGTTATTATATCGATAAGTCCCGAGAATTCCGAAAATCTCAAAAATCACGAAATAGTCCCCAGATTCAATCTCTGTCTATATCATTTTCACTATGTATAACTACCATTATTTTCATTTTTCTCCATCTATTTTAATCTTTAATTTTATCGGTATACTCATCCTCATATTTTTCTTTAGATTTATCTTTGTTTTTACTCTTAGGTTTATCATATTCTTCATCTACATATTCCTCTTCACCTTCGTCTTTTATAAATATTCAAATGCACACATACTTTTTGTCTCCTTCTCTCACTTACAGCGCATGCACGTGTTTGCGAAATGATTTTGTATGAAAAATTATTTATGTCCATATATTTGAATGAAATAAGCATACTTAGAAGATATCAATCAACACTTCTTATATACCAAATGGAAGGAAATTCTTGAATTTTTGATTAAATAAAACAAAAACAAAATCATTCGAGCGGTTTTCGAGAATTTCGGAAATAAAAAAATTGTTAATTTTTTGCCTTAGAGTGCTCAATGTTTGGTAAATTTATATAAAATCTGTACATGGTAATATTTCGACTACTCCAAAGAATCTGTATCCCGAAAATGAAAGTTATATCTGCAAATCATAAATTGCTAGAGCACTTTAAAGCTCAAAATTGACCCCAAAAAAATCCGATATTTACCGTTGTTTCTACGACAGACACCGAACTGGTTACTTACAGAAATCTATCTGGCGATAGGCTTGGAATTTTGTCTTTAAAACGCCATACTTCCCTTTGAAATCGCTTCACTAGTTCTCGTGCAATAAGCATTTTCGTGAAGCTCTAAAAATTACAACTACAACATTTGTGCATAGCCTCCGTATCGAAACGCAAGACGTATTCTAGGTCAAAATGAAAAATAAAATCAACCGTTTTTTTTTGAAAATCGTACCGTGAAGTCGAACCGAAATATCAAAGCTAACCACAATCGCACGCGTCGATACAACCTCTGACCACGAACGCTTACGAGCGACTGCCCGAGGGGTAGAGAGAAGCACGGGGGGATACGTCTTCGCTAACACACTTTGGAACTCTCAAAATGTCTGTCAGATCACACGTCGGTAGGGTTTGTCGCTGGTTCAGATTTTTGATATTATTATGTATATAAGTAGTGGTAGACAACGCTTTTTCTTCAGCAAAGACTCTAAGTACTTAGGATGGCACTATGGCCTAATTGTTTTTTTTTTATCGCAACTGTTTAAAACGCACTTGAAGTTGGTTATGTTGGTTACATTAGAGCGATACGATATGCGATACGATACGCGATGCGATATAAAATGCGCGAAGTGCACCGCTCTAATGTGCACCGTGTTTAGTGTATCCAATTCATTGTGCACGCTGTCGCGTTGCCATCATTACGCTCTTGCTTGTATACGTACACGCGATGTTAACGCTCTTTTAGCACCTGCTAAGTCTCTGCACATGCCTGGTCATGGCTAATTAAAAGTGAGTCCGAATAAACAAGATTTTTCAAACTATCTTGTCTAGGGTCTTTTAATTGTCTTACAAAATACTCTCAACTATCTAATTCACAATTTCCCCTGTAAGTCACTAATTTATGACTGAGTGGTAAAGCTCTTAGTACATACTACATACATATCAACCGTACCTTGGCAAAACCTCGTATCTCAAAACACAAAAAAAAAAGGGACGAGAAGACGGAAGTATTTTAAAGAAGCAAAAATTTATATATTTATACTTGAACTGTCCATTACTCCATTACTATTGTAGCAATAAATACACAAGTGATTTTGGAAGTATTAGTTTTCCTGTTGTTTTGTAAAAACCAAGAACAAATTTTAAAAATCTACGAATTATTAATTACACATACACAGCCTAAAGACGCACACCACAAACGAGATATATAGTTATAACTTTAAGATAAATGTTAAGTCTTAAATATAATCAGCTGAAATATATTTCACGTAAGCCATGCCAAATAACTCTTTTCAGCTTTTCTACTAAAGAGGCCGCCACCCACGCCATTGTTGGCGTACACAATACGGAAATCAATCAACAGCCTGTGAAGTGCGCGTGGGGCAAAGAGAGTGGCGACCCCAATCACATGTCAGCCATCGCCGGGCAAGCACTAAGCCCTGGCTTCCCATTTGGCACAGCAGCAGCGGCGGCTGCAGCAGCAGCATATGGGCAACAAGTGGCCGGCTATTGGTATCCACCGGCACCCACATATCCCACAGCAGCGCCCACACCCGCCAACGCACTGCAACCGGGACAATTTTTGCAAGGCATGCAAGGATTTACGACATACGGGCAATTTGCTGGCTACCAGCAAGGATATATGGGGTAATGGAAGAAAATGGAGAAAATATTTTATGAAATGGAGAAAAGCATTGCAAGTGATAGGATAGTTGGCTATAGCAATTTAAAAATAGAATTATGGTGCATGACATAAAATAAAATATAACTGCATTTAAAAAATATAACGATACATATGAACATACATACATGTGTGTATATTTAAAAGTAGATCTTTTGAAAGATCAAAAACGATTGAGCTATTAGGAATTTAATTAACAAAAAATGTTCATAAAAAAATGTTGAATAAAGATTGGTTACCCATGCTGCTAGTATAATTTATTAGCTTCATAATATGTATGTATGTATCATTAAATTTAGCCACTAAAAAAAAAAAAACAATTCTAAATATTTATGTGTAAATTCTAGATTAATAAATAAATAAAATCCATATTTAACTCTAATTTGATAATTCTCTCTCCTCACTTTCACCTCGCATAGCATGGGCGTCCAAATTCCCGGTACTTGGCAGAGTGTGCCACCTCAAGCGCCGTTGGCTGGCGCCACCGCTCCACAAATTGCACAGAGCGTCAGCAGTGGTTTGCCACAGGCTGCCGGCGTTGTTGCCTATCCCATGCAACAATTTCAGGTTAGTCCACAGGTGAGTGTATCCGCAGATAAGTAAACAGTTGTAGAAAAAGCTTTGAACATGAATAAAACTAGTGGTGAAAATGGGAAACGTAAGAGCATAGGCACAGAGATTAGGGATGGGTTAGTTCGATCAAAACTTTAACTCCAAAACAGCGGATATTTGAAATCGAATTCGGAAAAAATCGATTTTCGTCTTTATTTGCAAAAGATACTTTAGTTTTGCAAATACTTTAGTTTTTGATTAATAGAAATCTCGAACTCGAACTTTTGAGTACTCATAGTTTTTAATTAATCGAATAATTAAGTCACTTACTTTATGAATATTTTTAAATAATCAATTAAACGGACAGCCCTTGAATACATGTAACATGAAATATGTACAAATTTCTTTTGTTTTTGCAAAGCAAGAAATATAGATAAAAGCACATTATACTTCTAATTTTGTTAATTTTTTTAAAATTGATACTTTGGTACTTAAAAAATACACAAATTTTACTGATATTTTTTTACGTCAAGGCAACTTTTATTTAATTTGAACCGACTTCACAAAAAGGAGAAAGTTATCAATTCGTTGGAATATTTTTTGTTTTATGTACATATGTTACCGTATAACTTTGGACCACGTTAACCGATTTCTATAATATTTTTTTTTTAGGGAAAAGTGTTCCTCACAGGTGGTCCCGTACTAATTTGGCTCATTCGAGCATGAACAAATTAACGATAGTCTTAAATTTTTATATGAGAATTGAAGTCGGCTTTCTTTTTTGCTTAAAAATTTCTTTTTGAAACTTTAATTTCGTTTCTTGTTTTTTTTTTTTAATTGAGAAAAAAAAATACTTTTTATTCGAATTTATTTTTGGTTTTGAAGCTAAAAAGAGCAAAATAATTAAACACATTAATTTAAGTTCAATTCAATCCCTTTTTCAATTTGAGTTATCATTCTACAAAAAAAAACTTTTAAATTTTCCACAAGACAAAACTGTTGAAAATTCGAATAAGTCGATTTTATACCTCCGAATTACGAATCGAATAATCGAATGGTTGGGAAGTATTCGAAATTCTGAACAAATGGAATTTCTACTCGGTTTTAAATCTATTAAATCGAAGATTGATTAACCGATTCCTTCCAATTTAATTTTTGTCGATTTTTACTCCCGATTCGAATCGTGAATCGATAAAAAGAAATCTAGAATCGACATTCGGCTTTACTTTACTCAATGCATATTAATCTACGGATTAATTGTTCTACTATCAAATTTTGAAGGGAAGCCTCTTGAAAATAACTCTGTATAAATTTATGGGTAATGCTACATTCGAATTTTAGCATAACAGAGTTGAAAGATGTTGGGATTTCCCATTGATTTTTGGCAATTCCATTCTTGCCGCTCATGCACATTTTCTTTCCCATAAAAAAACAATTTCGATCAAAATGGCCAAATGCCAAAAATCAACGGTAAGATCCAGCATCTTTAAACTTTGCTATATTAAAATCCAATGCCCTTCGTTCATATTACGCAAGCCTTATTGGGCGCCATTAAAAAATAGCTGTTAATTTTTAAGCAACACACATAATTTTTTCTATTTTCTGAAAAAAAATTAGAAAGTTATATAACTTTACTACAAGCTTTTATTCAACTCCATTTTTATGTACTTATGTATGTAAGTATGTAGTTCCTAGAATTTCGCGATCAATATTTCACCAACTTCCCCATGAGCTAGTGACTTGAGCCTTCAAACTTAGCACACAACCCGATGACAATGCAATATGAAAGATGAAATAGTCCGCTAGGTGGCACAGTAGTCGAGATATTTGGGTAACCCATATTTATGATCCGACTTCGTCCAGCTTAGAAAGCTTGTTTTAAAAATAGATTAACTTATTCCTAAGTAGGGCTAAGAATTTATGAAGTCCCTGTTGAATACTCATATCGTTGTCTAGACATAGACAAACCTTATCTCACTTTTTGCTTTTCCAAAAGTATGTTGAATTTTAAGCTAGCTGATAGTTTTAGGATAAATCTTGATTTTGCGTTATGAACAATATAAGTGTTAAAAATTATTTTAAAATAGATTTTTATAATTTCGGTGTTAGTCAGATCGCAGTGTTTTTTTTTTTTTGTTACTTTATAAAAATTAAATTAATGGCGTTATTTGACAAAATTTATTTTTAGACGATTTCTGCCAAAATCGATTATTTTTCTTTCGATTCAAATCGATTTAAAAATTTTTTATTTTTTTTTTTTTTTATATAACGGTACGGCATCTGAATTATGCATACAATAGCACTGATCCAGATTAACTTTTTCATTCCGATTTATCTAGGAAATTAACTGCAGTTGATCCGGATTAAGTCCTGCAGTTAATTCTAAAAATTAATACGGATCAGAAGCATTTTCGACGGTAGGGCCCAGAATAGCTCCCCGCAAAATAGGTAATTTTCAATAAATAAAATTTTGTGGTTTTTATTTTATATTTTTCATTTTATTTTTTTTAAACTAAAGTACATAAAAAAATTAAAAAAAATTGCTTGTCGTGGGTTCGTGTCCCACGCTCCGTTAATCTGAATTGAAGTTTCTGTCTGTCTATGCTATAAGCAAATTTCCATTTTAACGTTGGAAGTGAAGACTTTAAAAGAACTTTTATGCGGCAAGTTCCTGCGATGGGCAATTGGCACAACTAGTAGTCATAGCTGAAAGTGAAATATTAACAACTAAACTCTTTAGCTCACTCGGTGCTGCTAAACTCCTTTAATCTCTCTGCCAATGCAAAACTGTTAGCCCACTCACCTTTGAACGTCTAGTTAACTGAATGCACACAAAAATGTTAAGTGGCAGCATGCTTTCACTCTCAATTCGATTTGAATGCGTTCTTTGTGCGAATGATGTTACCGCAAAACAAAGTGCATTAACAATAGATTAGCCATATATATACATATGTACATATGTTCGTGTGACATGCGATTCGTATTCAGTACCAAATACACGAGGATGAAGATTGACTTCAATGAAGCCTTTTGCTAGCCCGTTGACATTGTTGGGCTCAAAGGCTGTAAACATGTATCTAGAAGAGGTGCCAACTGATAGCCGACAAGAATCACAAATGATTTATCAAAAGTATCTAGTAAGAAGTTATGGAATACTATTTCGCATATCTACTTTATTTGGAAACTGTCAATTCAGCCGAAAAAGTGTTTGTGAAGATAAAGTTGCTTGAACAGAGCATTTTTTCGAGATTTCAGATTTCCTCTTCACTTCGGCATGTATTTTCATGAGGCAGTGGTCAGTGATAACTCCAGAAATTATTCTAAGTTGAGAGCGTTCGAAGAGAATGAGGGAGCTGGATCCATTGTTGTCGAGTTTTTGCTAGATTTGACGTTACACACCATTCACAAGTTTTCTGTTCCATCTTCCAATTGTCAGTTCAACAAAGTGAATTTTAAGCCACAGATTTCAGATTGTCAGTCCAAAGTAGCATTCGTTGGAGAGATATTTCCAGCCCTAAGCACCAAAATAACGTAGGCGACACCATTTGCCAAATTTAGTCTTTGGCGAAGCATTATTTATAATTATATTTTATGCAATTTTTTTTTTTTTGAATAAAGATATGTAAATAGATTTGTGAAATGTAAACGATCCCCCGGTATGTTATATTTTTTTATGAAATTTGAGAAAAACTAAATTTTATTTATTTTTAAGTTTCTTCCTATAAATCTCAATAACCTAATATTTTAATTTCGCATTCCGAGAATTCGGGATTGAATGCCATAGAATGTATAAATGTATGAATACTCACATTCACCACTGCGTATGAGTAATAGTTTATTTAATCCTAGTGAAACCGACCAAATTAATTAGCGTTTTAGGCCAACCGGGGCACCTGCGTGTCCACTTACGGATTTATATCTAAAAGTCGGCTGTAACTAGTATAATCCTGGGTATTAGCTATATAGATCCTTCGACTCCGCACCCATGAGTGGACAAAGAAACCAAGGGCTTCCACTAACACAATGGAAGGACCAAGTGCAGAAGAACCTGTCTGCACTTAGGATGAATAGGTGGCGCAAATCTGCAAAGGAGAGAGGCAACTGGCGAAGTTTTTTGTTCTCGGCCCGAACCGGCAAATGGTTGCAGTTCCAAATAAGAAGAAGATGATTAGATGTATACTGATCTATTTGTTGTTACCGAAGATATTTTTATACAAATCCAACGATAGTATTATATACAAGGATCTTTGTAATATAATGTCCGGTATAATCTTTAATGAGCCAGATCATATATTTGTGAATTCCGAGATGGTCTGGTACATTAATCTGAAAAGAGAAGCAATAAGAGGGTCTCTATGTTCTTTATATCCGAGGAATATACCAAAACACCTTTGAAAAAAATATATATTATATTTAGATAACAGTTTACTTTCTATCAATAGTTTACTTGGCGCAGCCAAACGTATTGTCATGCACCTCAGCGCGGTTGTTTTAAGAGAGCTGCTCGGCACACTTATTGCCAGAAAAGTAGAAAAATATTTGTTATTTTTGTAGACTACATTTTATTTTTATTATTATTTATATTAGCTCAATTTAACAAATGAATAATTGAAAAACAATATTATTAGTTATACTTTATTTAATTAAACATTTTTCCGCCTATTTTTATTTGGGTACCTGCGTACCCCGGTTGAACTATTCGTGTACAATTTTTTCAAATTCAAAATTTTCTGAGCTGAAATGAAATATAAAATATTTTAAGAGCATTTATTTATGTAAGGTCAGTCAAATCGTGGACTTCCGTGAGGATTTAGAAAATTGTTCCAAGAAAAAAAAAGTTATTTGATATAATATGTGTCAATGGGTACCCGAGTAAACGATTGGGCCCACAAGGGTTAACAATCTTTCAAATCTCTTATTATTACCACGTTGTATAGTCTCGCTTTCTTCTTTATTTAGATTTTTTCTCTCTTCTCTCCACCACCCTAGCTGGCTGAAGATGAATGGCTTGCACCGAGCCTGCTTGTGTAGCTGCCATGATGGCCGGCATTTACAACAACTAATGGTGCACCAACAGCCGCCGCAGCTGCAGCAACAACATTATGTGCCTGCACAAAAGTCACTGTAGCACCGCCAATACAAGCACCTATGCCTGCAGCTATAGCTCCAACAGCAGCAGCGGCAACAACAACTACCACAGCTGCGGCGGCAACTATTTTGGCTGTACAGCCGTACAATGCAATGCATCAGCATCAACAACAGCAACAACAACATCAGCAGCAGCAGCAGCAGCAGCATCATACGCACTATCAGCAATGCGGTTTGCAGCAGCAGTCGCAGCAACAACACTACCTAATACAACAACAACAAACAACGGCGTCACTGCAACAGCAGCAGCACCACCAGCATAATCATAGTCAGTTGCCGCAGCAGCAGCAACAACAACAACAATATTGGACTTTTCAGCAGGTAACAAACAACGATTACTCTCCACAGCATCAACAACAGCAACAACAACAAACTCACTTAGTTGACTTGTAAAAGGAATGAAATGTCGGCATTAAAAAGAAAATTTTAGTAAAAGTGTACACAAAGGAAATGATCAGTCGAGCGAGCCACTATTTATACCAGAAATATGAAATTCCAGTCATGATGCAAGTTACTACATAGTTACTTAGTAAACTAACAACAATACATATGTACTTTTTATATTTACCCTGCAAAAAATTGTGCGACTAATCTCTAAAGAGAGTATTCCGAGATTACTCTCAATCGGGTACAATAGGGCATTAATTAGTCGCAACTAGTCTCATACGGGTACTAATGGAGATCAATTAGTCTCGACTCTTATGGGTATACTTTGAGATCAATTAGTCCCCAAATCAACTCTAACGGGTACTATTAACGATTTAATGATATGTACACACTTAGTCAATGCAATTTCATGTGCGGCGTTGGCACGCAGAGAGAGTATTCGCCTAACAAAACTGAGCACCCCGGTTCGAATCTCAGCTGGCGCAAATTTTTATTTTTATTTTTTAAAAGTGACTAGTCGCTTTTTATACCCGTTCGGGTATAAAGGTGAACAATTAGTCTCTTCATAGGACATGCTCGAACAAAAGCGAACAGTTCACTCCATATAAAGAGATCAAAAGTGGTATTAGTCGAATGCTCCTTTGCGATTGCTCCCGGAGTCATCCCGGATTAGTCCCATTTTTTGCAGGGTACATACAGACATACATACATACGTATGTTTACATATATGTCCCTATATGTATGTACGTATGTTGATGTTGCTTGCTTGTATACTATTTCGTCTGAATTTATGCGATTTTAATTGAAAACGTCAAAGGTTATACATATATCAAAGAAGTGTTGGCAGTTAGTTAAAAATGAATAGTAATGTTGAAATTTAGAAAGCAGCTGTTGCTATATATAATTCTAAGTGAATAGCTACTAGGTCCATATAAAAAAATTGTTTTAGATACAGAGTACACGCCCATACCTATTCACCAAACATCATAATGGCGGCTAAGTTATACCAAAATGATCATTGAACTAAAAAAAGAGTTACAAGGTTTTTTAAGAACTGATTAAGATTTATGCCATATTTTTTAGTTATAAATTATTTTTGTTCAGTGGGTATCTATCTTAAATCATCAACCATTCTATATCGCATTTTTAATATTTTGAGGCACGACGTTCATGAAAAAACGTGTAAAATGAACATTAAGCAGCATTTACATGAGGCGATTTTCTAAGTGATTTAACATCGCCTGAGAAGGTTTTTTACACACGTGCATTCATGTACACGGGCGACAAAAGTTGAATGATTTAGAATGTCAACGTTTACTTTTTAAAATTTTGCTAATATATTTTATATGAAAAGAAGAAAAATTTTAAAACTTAGCACCAACATAATTGCCAAAGAAATTAAAAAAAAGATTTAATCGATGAACTACGCAAGGAAGTGGTAAAGAGGAAACGTACAGTATGGGTAAGGAAATGAGTTCGTCAGCGTGAAGTTTTGGGCGCCTCTGATAATTTGTACAAGGAGCTTGCCCCAGACGACATGAAAAACCTTCAGCAGCGTTTAAGAATGACCACCGCACAGTTCAATTATCTTCTCCAAAAATGTGCACCTTTAATAAAAAAAAAAAAAACTGGATACAAATATGCGTGCGGTACTCTCACCAATAATTAAACTGCAAGTTACTTTAAAATTTTTGGCAAGTGGTCACAATTAATAGTTTACTCTAATGCACTATGGAAAATTAGTTCACCTTCATAGGCTTCAAAATAGTTGCAAGGCACCAAAGCTGCCTCTATAACAAATTAAAAGCTCAGTTAGTCTAGGCTTAATTTCCGTAACTTAACTTAAATTAATATTTTGGCCAACCTGTTAGATATAGGAGAAACTGTGTTGGTGGTTAGCTAAAACTTAACTTACCGTAAGAAACTTAAGAACCTGTAGATTTTAGGTTCTTAAGTTACGGCCTTACGGCAATTGAGAGCGGTGAGAGAATCAGGCTTGCCAGACCCTCGTTTGTGTATTTCTTAAAAATAAATGAAAGCAAACATTTTTGTTTGTCTGCATTTGTTTGATGTTTTGATGATTTTAGGCGGCTAACTGTTAAACAGCTGAAAAAGAAAATACAAAAACAAAATATTTCCGCTATTGGCGTAAGTTGACGTGTTGAGTAATCATTGATGATTTCTTACGGTAAGTTAAATTAAGTGAAGTCTAGACTCGCTTAGCTTTAAACACAGAGTTGTATTCACGCGTTTCCGCCAATTTCTTTGAAGTTGTGAAAACTTTTTTGCGACAACTGAGGTTTATATATATTTGAGGCTGCTATTTTGCCATGAAACATTAAGTCACAAATTCAATTCAAGAGATCCCTGACTTAACGAATTACCCTTGTACTTTTTCTTGTTTTACTTACTTTGCCATATCTTTAACTTTGCATAATTTGTATTAAAATTTTCATTTCTTAAATTAAAAACAAAGAATCTTACTTAGCTGATATTTACAGAGTACGCTTAAGTTAGAGTTCTTTAAAATTTATGTTTTCTACTGAAGAATGCCGAACATAGATAACCACCAAGTTATTTGGATTTTTTCCTGGGACTATAAGGGTTAAGTTATTGTCCAGCTTTACTAGCAAATCGAAATCATTTATTTATTAACATAAAGAAACTATAATGAGTGTGTCTTGCTTACATACATACAGGCCAAAGAAAAGAACGCGGGACGTAATTTTTGAATGAAATAGTAAACTAAAATCAAGTACACCATAAATACATATTTATATACATACGTACTTTACTTGACCCATGTAAACCCAATATATATGTAGTATAAAACAACAGCAATACTTAAATATGTATACGCATTTATTGATAAAACATTAAAGTTAGTAAATAGCTTGAGTTGTTGAGATTAACAAATAACAACACCAACAACAAAGTATACATACATACATAAATGTTGTAGCCACACCACCTAAATAATTGAAAAGTTCATGCCACATACGACTCGTATGCATATATAGGCCATTTTAAAAAGTATGTATTTGAAAAGTTCAGTAACTTTTATAGAGCTGCTCATTTAGTGATCAACTATTTCCAAACAGGCCCAAGACATTTTTATGTAACATCAAACGCTATACCTTAAATAATTCCAAATGCAGACAGACTACCAATTCTACACATTACCAATTAAATACATACATATGTACGTATGTATGTTGTTACTTGTATACTAACCATGTAATATTATTTTTTATAGTAACTGTAAGAAATGTGTGTTAAGTAAATATATATTTACGCACACTTATACATAAATAATATATATGTATTACATGTACACAATATGACTGTGAATAAAAACATATGTACATACATATGCTTATAATTAATAGATTTTAAATTTTCTGTTAAGCGCTATTGAAAAATCAATTACATACATATATCTACCTATTAATTTTTGGCGTCGTACTGTCATATATACATGCGTGTGCATATAAAAAAAAAATACTATACTGCGGTTTTTTTACGTTTTACTCTATTGGTTTGCATTATTTGCACAGAGAAAAAATTTGAACACGTGTGTACTCTATTTTTCCAAATGTAGTAGTATGAGTATGTATATAAGCCTTTCATGGAAGAAAAGCAGAAATTTTCAATCGACAAAAGGAAATGCTCTTTCCTAAATCGATGGCTGAGTGGAAGATCGACCTATCTCGGCTGTCAGTTCGAAAACGCTCTATCTCAAAAAACTTTTCAAGAACGCCCTATTTCAGAATTTTATTGAAAAACACCCTATCTCAAAATTCGGTTCAAAAACGCCCTATCTCACTTCAAAATGTATTGAAAATATGCTGATATGGGGCGTTTTTGAATCGGCAACTGAGATAGGGCGTTTTTGAAACGAATTCTGAAATAGGGCGTTCAAAAGTTTTTTGAGATAGAATGTTTTCGAACTGGCTGCCGAGATAGGTCGATCTTCCACTCAGCCATCGAAATAATGGTGAGTGTGTTTCGAGAAAACAAACAAACTAATGCAGCGAAAAGAAACAGGAATATTGAAAAAAAAACTAACATGAAGAACTCATAAAATCTAACAAATAAAAGTGCTTAAAACAATAAGATAAAACACTATTGAAATAACTCAACAAGCGAAGGTAACCCACAAAGAGCAATGATTTTATTTCAGAGTTTTTTGCGAAAGCCAATTTATATTTTTCCATTCAGGTTCATTTGGAAATTTCGCTTTTTATATTTTGCCACCATTTTAAATTACTTAAAAAAACGGAAATCCAAATGATCCTCAGCTGGAATAAAAGCTGGTTTTCTATTCACTACTTAAATGTAGCCTAACTGAACGCATACAAATATTTTGACGCTATGCATTCTTATTCTATACTACAGTTAGTTTTGAAATTACCTGTTTTCCCATAGAAAAAAACTTAACATTTTTGCGTATATATATCCAAGCCGTAAGTAACCTTAGATCACATGGGTTCGAGCGCACTCACTTTTCTCCACGAGGCTTACATCCAAACCGC